GGCCGTTGTGAACATCTGTGTACGACTTTCTGTATAGACACGTGTTTTCAGTTCTCCTGGGCACGTACCTAGGCGCAGACATGCTGGCTCACGTGGTGATTTCGCCCAACTGGTTTCTGAAGGGCCTGCACTGTTTTACATTCTCACCGGCATTGCGTGAGCATTGCAATTTCTCATCCTCTCCAACACTTGCTGTGGTCCTTTTAAAAAACATTTGTAGCCATCCTAGTGGGTGTGAAGTAGGACATCGTTGGGATTTTGATTTGCATTTTCTTAATGACTAATGATGGTGAAGATTTTTGTAGCATCTATCGATATGATCTTGTGATTTTGTTTTTTTAGCCTGTTGATATGATGCGGTCCACTGATTTTCATGTGTTGAGCCAACTTTGCACAGCTGGGATAAATCCCAGTTTGTCGTGGTATAAAATTCTTTTTACATATTGTTGGACTCAACTTGCTAATATTCTGTTGAGGATTTTTCCATCTATGTTCATGAGAGATACTGTTCTGCAGTTTTCTTCTATAATATCGTCTAGTTTTGGTATTGGGGTGATGCTCGTCTCATAGAATGAGTTCATGTTTTGGTTTACATCCTTAAATACATACATTACCTATATTCCTCTTTTTGCCTGTGCTCGTCTGCATTTTGAGTTGAACACAGGAACCAGAGAGCATGCCCATTAAGTACAATATATACGTACTAACACTCAGCATCTCAGTCGTACGTTATGGCGGTTGAAGGGCTGGAATTGGCACCGGGAGCAGGAGAAAGTGAGGGTGGCCGGTTACTTGGGTTTAAACTTCACAGTGTGGTTGAACGTGAGCCACTGCCTTGGAGCACTGAGCACCTGGCAGTCAAGGACAATGAATTGTTCCAGGAAGCTCCGGTCCTCCAACCTTTAGCAGCTCTCCTCTGGAAGGGGTGAGCCGCAGCTGCCCATGGGAAGTCACTCTCTGGGCTGCAGAAGTGCTGCCTGGGGTGAACGAGAGTGAGGCTATCATGTCAGAAGGAACAGGAGCTTGGGCGGCAGACTGTGGGAGCCTTGGGCGGGTTCTCTGGGAGCCAGAAGCCGAGAGGGAGCTGGGAGCACACAAGGGGAGCTACACCTGGGAAGGGAAAAGGGTGGGAGTGGGCCTGGCCTGGAGGGGGTCCCAGCCTGGGTGCAGACCTGTTAGAGCCCGCTGTGTCAGTGCAGGGGGCACCCTAGGGCAAAATCGCTAGTTAGAGGAGTCCGAGTTGGCAGGGAAGGGGAAGGCACCTTCCTGCTCGCCGTTGGCTGGAGGCTGCCCCGAGAAAAGCGTGACTGTGGCTCAGAAGCCAATGGTGGGTCCTGGAAGGAGCTAACTGCTGGGGGTTATGACTGGAATGGACGCACTTAGTGGCCGAGCAGCACAGCCATTGTTGAAGGGGCAGGATAAACAGTGGATCTCCACGGGCACGTCCGGACAGACCTGAGGTTCAAATCCCAGCCGCGTGTGATCTGCGGTCAACGACCCTGACCTGCTTTCTCCTCTGTCAAATGGAGAGAAGGCCTCTCTGGCACGCGTGTGGAAAGATGGAATAAGACGGGGGTGAAAAGGGTGTCTGATGCAGTACAGGCGTTGGACCGTGTCCCTCCCTTTCCCCCACATGGACGCTAGCCAAGGGAACATCCTGTTCCAAGAATCCGTTCTCGCCCGCTCTCTGTAAACTTTGTTTCCCCTCACTTTCCGCCAGGGCAGCAGTTTCAGCCTCTTCCATCTCCCGGGACACATAAACTAAACATTAAAATGCCGCGGCACACCAAAAAATATATTTTTTGCTGCTCTGACAAAAAAAATAGGTATAATTTTGATTCATTCGCACTGGACAGCTATTGTTCTGTTGGCTGTTGTCATTTTTTCAACTTGACAATCTCAGGGAAAAGAGGTCAGTGGCCCTGACTAAGTAGTCAGCTACTGACTAGGAATTTAAACATTCCTGTGGCATGCCGGTAGAAAATTGCTGCTCTCGGGGACTGAGCCCCGTGGCAGTTTCCTGACCCCCAGGACATGCTGCCTCTGTGTCCCAGCCTGGGGTGTTCCTGGCTTGTTCCTCTCCTGCCTTTCTGCGCAGACTCACAGTCCTTTGTGGCTGTTGGCCCTCCCGGCGGGGACCACTGGCTGGGTTGGGAAGAGAGGGGGGAGTGCTTCCTGGGGTAGACCAGAGGTACGTGGCTGGCACCATGTCTTCAGCTGCCTGCATTCGGTGCTGATTCCTGTGAAAAGACACCTGAGTTCCTTTCAAAGTACCTCCTTGAAAGCCTGGGGACAGGTTCCCCTGTCCACGCAGGGCAGGGTCGGTCTCTATCCCAGAGGCGAGGCGGCATCTGAATGGGAGGGAGGCGTTGTCTTTCATCTGGGCACCCTGACCAGAGGAACGCAGGTGTCCAGTTCCTTTCCCTGGGCATGTAAGTGGGCCCCATTTACCGGGGAGTCTCCACTCGCAGTGTAAGCACCAACCAGTTTCATTTCCTCCAGGGACGGCCTGGCCCGGCCGTCCTGCCAGACCTCCTCCTGCTGGGAGCAGCTTCCTTGGTGACGTCTCGGTCCGCTCCCACCGCCCTCCAGCCACTTTCAGTTACTAGAACCATCTTATTCCAGTAATTAGGACTCCGTTTTAGGCATTTTTAAAACTTCCATTGCAAGCTTGATCCAGAGCTTTTCTCCCTCCCCTCCAGCAAAAGCTAGAGCTTGCTTGGCCTTAGCCATTTGGGGCAGTGGTGGGTGGCTTGGTGGCCCCTTGTCCCCCTCTTCAAGGCCTCAGCATCTCTGTTTGAGGCTGGGGGAGGGAGGAGAAGGAAGGGGCCTCTGTAAAAGACTTATGAGAACAGAGGGGGCGTCTGTGTCCTTGACCCCTTCCTGGTTCTCTCGGATGCTAGAGATTCTACCCCAGGCTCCTCCATCACCCTTTCCCCTCCTGGCCCCACCCACAACTGTGCCTCCCTGGGGTGGCACCAGTGCCAAGGGCTTCCAGTGGCTCCAGTCTCTGGCTTAGGCATCTGTCTCTTCGTTCAGCAGCAGCCTGAGCAAACCTTCGGTCCCTGCCCCTGAGCTGACTTCTGTGCATTTCCACAGAGCCCGCTGGGATGACCGTGGCCTTCAAGGGCCACACAGACCTGGGGTGGGAGAGCTGCCCCCACCGTCTTCCCACTCATGCCGCACCAGGTCCCTTCAGGCCCTGCTGGGTGGGCTCCTGCCACATTCCAGTGTAAGCCTAGTCCTCAGGGCAGGGGCAGCAAGCGCTCTGCTTTTCTTTCCCACGGTGGGGAGCAGAATAGAAAGGGCTCCGGCAGCAGCCCTAGGCTCCCGGATCGCAGGGTTCTTCGACAGTGCTCTGTGGTGGGGTCCAGGCGCCCTCTTTCTCTTTGCATGGGGCAGGAAAGCTCCGTCTCTTGTCCACGGGGAGAGGAAGGCCCAGCCTCTCCCCACAGGCCTGCCGACTCTCGTCCCCTCTGTTTTTACCTGTCCTGACTAGGGTGGCAGGGCGCCGGTTTTGTCCAGGAATCCTGGGGCCTCATTGGTCCTGTCTGGGGTTGCTGGCTCCATCTGCCAGCGGCGTGCTTTCTGGGGTTACTCAGCTCCTCCTGCCCCGCTCTCGAGGCCTTGGCTATAATCCCGTCGTAATGGGAAAACACGTGAGGATTTGCATGGCAGGAGACAAGCATGTCCTGTCTCTTAAACTGTGTTGCAGTTGCTGTTCCTTCTGGAAGGATTCCTCGATTTAAATCCCGTCAGACCGAAGTCCATATTGCCCTGCACTCCCTCGGCTCGCAGGCTCTCAGGTGTCAGTGGGTTCAGTCGCGTGTGAATGTGTTTAAATGTGTCCCGACTGGTGTTTATGTGCTGTCGGCATGGCTGGTGTCTGTGGAACTCCAGCCACACACCATCTACCGACATCCAAATACGTGACGAACTTGACCTCACTCAGTTCTCACACTGCAATCCAGGGAGCTCCGTGTCGTTACCGTGTCCAATTAACAGATGTGGAACTAAATGGAGATAAAAATGCTAAATAGCTTCTCCAAGGTTTATCACCAGAAAGTGATAGAAACAGGCCGTCCGAGTCCCAGAGGTGCACCCTCTACCGATAGCCCATTCTTCCTACTCGGATTGACACAGTTGTCCCTCTGCCCCTCATCGGTCCCCCCATCACCCCGATCCCCTAAGTAAGTGCTTGTAGAGATGAGTGTGAATTACTCTCCATAGTAATTTTTGCTGGCACTAACAGAATCTTCCCAGTTGGGGCTTGTGTAGGAACTGAACTAGCCACAGTGAGCCTGTGGTCAGCAAGTCGCCTGCGGGCCTGACTCTGTGACCATGTGGAGGCCGCGGACAGACCCTTTGGACAGAAGGCTGAAGCTCCCTCATCACATCCCTCCTCTAACATGTTTAGGTCCGTTCCCCCACCCCTGGAGGTCCTGGAGTCCTGGCCCCATACCCCAGGATGGTGCCCCTGAGCAGTCGTTTTCATCTGCAGAGTGAGAATTCTGTCCTTTGTGTAGCACTTGCCCTTCCATTGTCTCCTGGACATCTGTAGCCAGTCCGTGGAGAGACGTCATCATTCTCAGTTTACGGGTGAGGACACTGGGACGCGGAGGTTAAAGAGGCGCCTGGGGTCACGTGGCTTAGGTGCGCTGGGACTGGGGCCCAGATTTCTGCCTCCTCCTCATCATGCTGCGGGCTCCTCCTCGGTGCCCTCCCCCGACACCCTCAGGCCCCTGCCCCCTTGCTGTGGGCTCTGCACACTAGTGGGGTTGCCTTTCTCCACTTTCAACCATGCCCACGCCCCTCAGTCCTGTCTCTTCCTCAGAGGGGCCCCCCTGGCCTCTCCCAAGGCCCGGAAGTGCCTCTCCGGGTAGGGGGACGGGGCCTTGAAGCTTTCTGACCCCAAATCCCTGGAGGGGCTGTTCACCGCCTGTCTTGGCCTTTGTCACAGTGGATGCTATTTATAGTCAGATAAATGCGTTTCCAAATAGAACAGAAAACAAATAGCTGCAGTAAGAGAGCTGTAAAAAACCCTGCCGCTCGCTGCCTGGAAGACAAGCCTGCACAACTAATTAACCTGGGCAGGCCTCCGCGGCGTTGGGAAACCAGCTTGGATTGATACCGCCCTTCTCCTCGGCGGAGCCGGCCTCTCGATCTTCACTGGGCGGCAGCGCGAGAGACTCGGAGTTACAGAGACGTAAGAGGCCGAGGTGGACCGGGCACGCAGAGCGAGAGAAACAGTTACCCATCTGTCTCCACACGCACACATGTCGTCTTAGCTAGCCTCTGGATCCTTGAATGACAGCCAGCCAGACAGACAGACCGCATTTCTTTGTAAAGAGGTAAGAGGAGGAAGCAGAGCCTCAGTCTAGCTCAGAGAACCTTTTGTTTCCACACCACCGAAGTCAGGAAGTCAGAAGCTTCTGGACTGAAAGGGGCTTGTTAGAGGTCATCTATCTAATTCAGTGGCTTTAAAATTATTTTTAGCAGCAAAATGCCTTCTTGATATGAAATCACGAGCAGAAGCACCGCGTGCAAGGCAGATAAAAGCGGAGTGCTGCTCCTCTCGGGCTGCCCCTTCTCCCCACAGAGCCGCTGTGTCCTCAGGGTCCTCGGGGCTCAGGGGAGCACACTTGGAAAGCCAGGGCTGCCTGGCCGCTGTGTGGCAGGGCTTTGGGGGGGGTCCCTGGTTTCTCACCGGATTCAGGTTTTGCCTATCTGGGGAGTCACCAAAGGGGGAGGGTGCTAGAGAGGCCCCACATGCTGGTGAAGGAGGTGGGTTACCTAAGGGGACGCCACCTCACTCCTCCCGGAACCTGCTGGGCTCTGGAACGCTGACGCTTACCCTTCCCGGGACCTTTGCTGAAGGAACAGGGCGGGGCTTGCTGACCTTCACTGACGGTGTCTCAGTGGGTGAGCTCTGTGAGTCCTCAGCTGACCTGGACTTGACCTTGCGCAGTGCACATCAAGTTCAGAAGGGAGACCAAGAGTAGGAGCAGGACGCCTCTCTTCTCTGGAAGATTAAACTGTGGCCAGAGGGGACTTCCGGAGAGACCCTCCAGGAATGCTCTGTAGGAAAATTGTACTTCTGCTTTTTCTTTTTCTCCAGGTGATGGTGAGGCAGTGGCCTGAGGCTAGAAACCATCCCTGCGATTGGCGCTGTGGGAATTTGACTGGCTTCCTCTCAGGGGGGTGCCAGTTGCTTCTGGAAGCTTTGTTTTCAGCCTTGAGAGCAGAGCCCAGAGGCCCTTCCCAGAGGCCAGTGGAAGGCCCTCTCTTGGAGTCAGTGGTGGGTGATGGGGGGCAGGAGGGAGAGAGGGCGACCAGGCGCTGCCTGGAGCCTCCCCAGCTCCGACGAACCCCGGGTGCTCTTGGCTCAGGCCTGCACAACAAGGGGGCACAGTGAGGAGGAGAAATCAAGAAGTAATGCTTTTTTTGAAGGAGAAATTATAAATTGCAGTTTAATCACATAATCACTTTGACACTCTCAAGCAAGCTAATTTCTTCCCTTGCCTCATTTCATCCACTCGGCGAGATGAATCTTAATGAATAATGTCCTATGAATATTTAATTTTTGATCAATTTGAATTTTCTCTGGCATACCTGCTGGAGACATAAATCAACTCCTCTTCTACCGGGCAGAGTGAACTTGGACAGCGGCCTGGGTGGATCTGTGCCCATGGCCACAACAGTGTGCGGCCTGAAACGCTCTGGGGTTCAGGTTCACCACCATCGCCACATCGCGACTCAGACTTTCCTGGAAGCACCGCCTAGGCCATGCTCTCTAATTCTACGAGCGGAGCCCTAAAGCCAGCGGTTTTCTAGGCAGACGAGATGCTTCTGAAAATGACTCCGCGTAGGTGGCCCTCTCGCTCCATTCTTTTTCTTCTTAAAGAAGCCCACCCCCTGAGCTGGACTTGACCCTTCCTGGCCCCCTGGGACACGTATCCAGAGAGGCAGCGTTAAGAAGAGCCCTCTCAGCTGTTCGAGAAGCTGTTTCCATGAGATAATGCCTGACATTTGTGTGGTGCTGAAGAGGTTCCAAAGCGACTTCACAGACATCTTTTCATGTCTGGCAACATCCTGGGTTTGACGGCTCTGTGCTGACCCTGGGGTGAGGGAACGTGGCTGGAGAGAGCTCCTCTCACCCTCCGTCAAGGCGGGAAGTGGGAACTCACACCTGGGAGGGACTGCTGAGTTCAAAACCAGAAAATGGGCTTCAACCAAGCAGTCCACAACCAGGGAAGAGTGAGTGTTTGGGACTGAGACCTGGAGGAAGAAAGAGGGGTATTTGTAATGGACAAGCTGGCAGCAGGCTCAGTAATGGCTCAATGGCAGTGGTGGCATTGTTTTTGATTAAAAACTGTTTTTCCTATTCCAGTTTACATTCAGTATCATCTTACATTAGTTTCAGGTGTACAGCGTGGTGGTTAGACAATCACACACTTGACAGAGTGTTCCCTCTGATATTTCCAGTCCCGGCCCGGGGCACCAGACACAGTCATTATAATGTTATTGAGTGTGTTTCCCTGATTTGTACTTTACATCCTGTGACTGTTGTAACTAACTAGCAGTTTGTCCTTCTCGGTCCCTTCACCTTTGTCACCAAGAGTTCCTCCTCCCTCCCCCAGTGATACTGTGTTTGGGGAAATACTTTAATTGCCTAAAGGAGATAGATAACATATTTAAAATGTATTTTGAATGTATATCCATATCCCGTAGATTTTGTTTTGTTGGTGGTCCCCACCCATAAGAGCAATGAGTTTTGGTGCTTCAAGAAGGGAAGGAACTGCCTGGAGCAAAGAGGCCAAAGTTGCGCTTTAAATGTCAAAGGTGACCTCCTGTTTTTGAGTCCACGAGGACAGAACAGCCCTTTGAGTAAGGTTTTCTAAAGAAAGAACAATGTTTTCTGAATGTCTTATGCTCTCAATAATATGATCACACGATTTCCTTCTACACAGTGGGGCAGAAATCGTTCCGACTGTGGGGTGATGGATGTAGCCTGGGAGGCTCACCCCTTCTCACCTGAGGGCTGCGGGGGAAGAACGGAAAGGTGGAGGAGGACATGGAGTCAGAATCCAGTTTCCTTGGTTTCCACTCCCATGGGTCTAATTACTGGACACTGTAAAAGCATTCAGATGATATGTAGGAACCTGAGAACATGGGGTTTAACATCTCTCACATTATAGTCCCCTCAGTGGGCCACAGACGTTTAAGTGGAGGCCGTGGGTAAGTAGAGGAGACGGTGGCGGGGGTGGGGGTGGGGCAGCCCTTCTGTCGCCGTGGCCCAGCCATGTCTTACAGGAGAACTTAGACGTTCTTATTTGCCCCGGTTGAGATGCTGAGAGAATCTGTAGTTGAGCAGAGGACTGAGGTTGGAACAGAGAGGCCCCAGAGTGGGGCACTTTGCAGGTGGAGAGAAAGGACCAGAATCATGGTCTTTAGTTGTGGGGTTAGTGCGTCATCCTGACAAGTCAGCCGGGATCAGTTGTGGACAAGTCTGAGAATCAGACTGGGCGAATAACCCGGTGGCAGAGGTCAGCTTTGGCCAGCGGTTAGTTCTCTCCGTTATTACGAGAGCCAGTAACCTCCGCCTTTGTTGTAGCTACCGTTCAGGAAGAAGAGTCAGTGGTTTTTCAAACAAAACGTATATGCTAAAGCTTCACCGACTAATGCAGTCCTAGCATAGCGAGAATGAGGGAAGAAAGAAAAGTGAGGCGAGGAAGGAGAGAGGGCGTTGCCGAGGGGGCCACTGCTTCACAAGGAAACCCCTTCGGTTGTTTGGACACCGGAGACTCCAGGTGCATCATGGGAAACCACCACACCTTAAAGTAGCCCGTGGACGGTTTGAGTTTGTTTGCTGTTTGCAACTCTTTCCTGTCTTTCAATGGTCAACATTTGCCTCTGTTTGTTGCTTTAAGCCCCAGGTGTTGAATAAAAATAATTTGTCACTAAGCAATGAGTAAAAATACACCCTTTGTTTGAGTCTGGAGGTGGTAGAGGAACCAGAACCTTTGTGGGTCCTGCCTGCTGAGGCCGACCTGGACACCGCAGCTGCTGTAGCTCCTGCCATGGCAGGGAAAATGAAGGAACTGGAGCTCTCGCTTTGGAAAGGCGGAGCTATGTAGCACTGATCTGAAGATGAGGCAGTGGTGGAAGCATGGGGTGGAGGGGAGAGGCATGCAGACCTGGGGAGACCCACATACTGAGCCTAGCCCTCCAGGCTCCTTTTCCCTAGTCCTGCACTTCCTGCTGGGATGGAGTCTCCAGAATCACAACTAAGCATGTTATCAAGAAATAAAGAAGCCACAGATGTTTCCCATACCTGCTTAATAGTGTGAGTAGAATCGAGACAACTGTTTTTGTTAAAATAATAAATTCTCATTGCAAATAAATTAAAACAATATAGCAAAAGCACAAAAGGCAAAGCAAGCATCATCCAACAACCCATGATCCAGAGAGAACACTGGTATGTAACTTAATTTTTTATATTCACTCCTTATGTTGATATTTTCCCTTGCCAATAAAAACTACACCTATCACTTCATCAAATGTAGTGAACTAGATGTTCCACGAAACTCCTCTAGGGACAGTATGCTTCTAAATGATGGACTACATATGTATTCCAGCCCCTTTTATAAAATCCATGAGTGCATGGTCGAGTTGGCACAATACAAAGGGAATGTCTTAGAGACAAGAAAGCAAAACAAAACAAGGAAGTATGACTTTAAAAGAATAAGTGAGCTGTAGAGCTAGTGTTTGTCTTGGAGCCTAAATGGGGTTTAATGGGTAATACAGCTGTCTACATGGCAGATGGCAGATGCAGCCCAGGGCTCCCGCTGAATTCTCACACAAAGCTGGGATCCCCGAAGGGGAAACCTCCTTGTAAGGGAAGTAGGAAAAACACACTCCATATAAAGAAAAGTTGGTGAAGATACTTGCTGGTCATCCTTAACTTTTGATGGAATAAAAGAAAAAACATAAAGGAAAGTGTTTTGTTGGAGAATTCCTAAACTTAAATCTGAATTTACCCAAAACTACATTCTGAAAATTTAAAATGTCCTAGATTGAGAACCCCCAGTGCTTGAAAACAAAAACAAATCCTCCATGAAAAAAAAAGAGTTAAACCTCAGCCTCAGAGAATTATCACAAAGTTCAAGGGACATGGACTTCACTCAAACTTCAACAAACACATGTGGGAATAAATTACCCTAGTGAGACTCAGTATAAACAACAAATTCCTCAAAGACTAATGACTTTACTTATCCAAATAGAATAGAAGATAAATGTATTTAATTTGTTTATGTACTAAAAGAGAATATTATTGGATATAGAATTATGGAACAACAGACTGTCAAATAATTTAATAAAATAGAAAGGAAACAAACACAACTTATAGAAAATAAAAAGTATAATCATGGAAATTAATGACTCAATGGATGTGATAATAAATTAGACACAGATGCAGAGAGAATGGGTGATCTGGAAGTTTTTCTGAAGAATTACCTGGAATATAACAGAAAGCAAAGCTATGACAGAGTTAGCAGACGTAAAGGACAGTGAGGAGACAGAACATACATAGAGTTGGACTGTCCGAGAATGACAGCATGGGAGAGAAATTTTAATGAAGATGACTAAAAATTTTCCAGTTGTGATAAAAGATACCAGTCCTTAACTTGAACAAGCCCAGTGAATTCAAACCAGGAAAAAGGAAAAGAAACTCACATTTTGTAGAAAACAGAACACTAAAGACAAAGAGAAGACCCTAAAAATAGCCACAGTGAAAAGATAAATTAGCTACAAAGCCATGATAACTCCACCTATGACTTATTTCTTAATAGCAACTTGGGAATCAGAAAACTATGGAAGGGTAGCTTTGAAGCCCTAAGTGAAAATACTATGCTAGAATTCTATTCCAACTGAAATGATCTCTTAAACATGAAGGCAACATAAAGACTTTAAAATATTTTAAAAAACGAAACTGATGAATTGATCACCAGGAGACACTTCCTGAAGGAACTCATTCAGATCTATCCCAGGAAGAAGAAAAATGGTCCCAGAAGTATAAGAATGAACGGTGAAGAAAGAATATGGTAACTCTATAAATAAATGTTGATTGTATAAGGTGATAAAAATTAACTTGTGGGGTTAAAATCAAGTTAGAACTAAAATTATGGGCAAAAATACACAAGTCAAGCATATTTAGATAGCAAAAATAGAAAAAGTGAAAATTTTCTTGTGAAAAAGGCACATAGCGGACTTCCACCAAGATGGAGGCATAGGTGGATGTGCTGTGCCTTCTCACACAACCAAGTTTAGAGACAACTAAATATTAGCAACAGAAAACATAGCCAGAACACAGAAAATTGAACTTTTCGGAAGTCTGTTAACAACAAATTCTTCAGCCTGACCGGTAAGGGGCGAAACCAGCGGCTGGAGGAGCGGGGTTGCATAGGAAAAGTCGGTCAGAAGGACTCAGGCGCGAGGAATCCAGGCGCGGGGTTGGATCTAGTGAGCAACCAAGTGAGCGACCAAGGGAGTGATCAAGTGAGCAACCGCGGGGAAACAGCAAGGGAGCAGGGCTGCGTGTTGACTGTGGTCGCGCATTTGTGCACGGATAGACAAGTGAGGGAGTGGGTGATTGGACCGGGACCCAGCGGGTCCCATTGGCAAGCGGCAGGGAGGGCGCCGCCATTTCCCTGCTCTGACCCCACCTCCACATACAGCGTCATAACCCAGCGACCTGAGTGGCCCTGCCCTGGTGAACCACCTAAGGCTCTGCTCCTACCCAGCGGTGCAAAACAGCAGAGGGGGCCGCCATTTCCCCGCTCTGACCACGCCCCCACATGCAGTGTCACAACCCAGCGACCTGGGAGTCCAAGGCTCTGTTCCTTACACTTAAAGGGTGAGAACAGACCAAAAATGGCTCAAGAAGATCTCAAAGCCCCAGAGCCTATAAATCTAAGCAATGAAGAAATAGCAAAACTCTCAGACGCACAGTTTCAAACACTGGTGATCAGGATCCTCACGGAGCTGGTTGATTATAGCCACAAATTAGACAAATATATGAAGGCGAAACTAATTGAAATGAATGGAATTGCACAGGACACCAATAGCAATGAAAAGGAAACTGGGACTCAAATCAATGGAGTGGACCAGAAGAAAGCAAATAATGGCCAAACAGAAAAGAGTCAAGAAGCAAGAATTCAAAGAAATGAGGAGAGTCTTAGGAACCTCCAGGACATCTTTAAACGCTCCAACATCCGAATTATAGGGGTACCAGAAGGGGGAAAGGCACAGCCACCAGTGGAAAACTTATTTGAACAAATAATAAAGGAGAATTTCCCCAGTCTGGCAAAGGAAATAGACTTCCAGGAAACCCAGG